TTTGGTAATCATTCTATAATGGTGGCAACTTAGCAATTATTGAACCAACTTGGAAAGATTCAGAAACTTCAACACCATAATCTTTAAGTTTAGAAACTATCACTTGAAGATTATGAATTTGGTCCATAAGAGAAAAAGAATCAACCAACTTGAACTCAAAATATTTCTTAATAAGAAACTTATCTGTGCTTGCTTTTGGGATGTATACTCTCGCTCAATTGCAGCCCAAATTTCCCTTGGATTTCGTACTCCTTGGAACATATCGTAGTAACTATCCGAGAGGGTGTTGAGAATGTGGCCTTGGCAGATAATCTCATCCTTTTCACGCTTTTGCCTTTGCTTTGTCATTTCCTCGGACTCACCCTCCACTAGAACAGAAATTTCTGGAAGATTTGGATTGAGAATGTAAGCCACCTTCAATGCAGTGAGAAAGAACATAAGTTTGTCCTTCCAACGGTTGAAGTTGGTTCCGGTTCCATCAAGTTTGTCTAACTTAACGAAATCTTGGTTCATAACTTTGACAGCACTTTCTTGTGTAGACTCCATTCTTGTCAATCGGTCAAACTTCAAGATTGTAGGAAAAATATAATATAGAAGGACAAGATTGCACTGAGTCAAACCAGAAAAAATCAAGAGAGAATTCTATAGAAATAAGTTTACATAAATGGGGATCAAGAGTTGATGAATTCAAGGCGTGTAATCACTTTCCTTGAAGTTTGATTGCCCCCACTATCTTGCTAATCCGGTTTCTGGGTAAAAACTCTAGGATACAATGAATTCTAATTAAACAACCAAGTAGCAAGTTCTTGGATTTGTCTAGTCAAGAATAAAAATGCTTCAGTTGGTTTTCTGGTGTTCAACCCATTGATTTATACACCCACAATATTCAAAAAACTGTTAGAAACTGTTCACATGTACCCTTTCAAAGGAACATGAAGTTTCACTGTGAAAGGGTGCTTCAAAAGGTGCAAACCTTTCCTATTTTGCAAACTACATCAACAGCTCATGCAGACATTCAACTTTCAGATATTTTGAGGATGCCTGAAAGTGACTTGACAAATTGGCTATTTGCATTCAATCCAAGTAATTTGGAAATATTATCACAAAGATATATGCTGATGGTTCAGGTAAGCATATTTGACTGCGGTGGGATCGCCATTGGCCTGAATGCCTCCTACAAAATTTTTGATGGCATGTCTATGTCAACCTTCATGAACGTTTGGGCAGCCATAACCAGCAAATCATCAGAACAAATAAGGCCCATTTTCATTTCAAGTTCTTTGTTTCCTCCTATTTCCAATTTCTCTGAAGAAGCATCCTTTTTGGTACCCAATTCTCAGATGAACACGTGTGTTAATTATGCGATGAAGAGATTTGTTTTTGATAGCTCAGCCTTGTATCCACTTAAAGCCAAAGCAGCTAGTTCATCTTCCCGAAAACCAAGTTCAGTCAAGGTTGTTACGGGACTTCTATGAAAATCCGCCATGGCAGCTTCAAAAGCAAGACATGTTTCTCAGAAAAAAAACCCTTGTTGGTCTTCCCAGTGAGTCTGAGGTCCAGATGTTCACCCCTTTTACCCTCGCATTCATTTGGAAATATGGTGTTTGAAGCTTGTGCTCAATCTGATCAAGATTCTAATCAAGAGCTGGAATTTCTTGTGAGCAAGATAGGGCATGCAGTTGCCACCGTTAATAAGATGGGCTAAGCCTCTATGGATATACACTGGGAGCCGCCAGAATAGATGTTTAACTATTGGAAATTTGGCAATTCTAATGGATACACAACGCGGTGATGGAATAGTCGAGCTCCCAGAAGATGACATGGCTATATTCGATGAAAATCTAGAGCTCCTCGCTTTTGCTTCTGTAAACCCTAGTCCTCTTGGAAACTAGCTTTTTAGGATGTATTTCTTTTATGCATTTTCTAAATGAATTTTCTAAGTTGGGTTTATGTTAACAAATTGAATAAGGATCACAAATGCATTAAGTTGTTTCGTCTATCAGTGATTTTTTCCCCTTCTTACCATTCTCAATTAACAAATCTAGCTTTAGCAGTAGGCAGGAAATTCAGCATTATTTAATTCTTCTCATTCATTTACTTTATTTTATTTTAATTTTTTTGTTGGAAGACAGAAATAACTTTGTGTATGATAGGGTATCATTTGTTAGTAATTTTATTATTAATTTCCCCTTTTATCCCTGCCAAATATTGTGTTAATTGTTGATATCTACTTATATTTGGTATCTGGATTTAATTTCAGGAATGAAGCAGAAAATTACCAAAAAGGGGGGACTTTATGGGAAAATGGAGACTTCTAAGGGTTTCAACCCTTGGGCCCTTGAATTGGTGGGGACCACAAGCTAGTGAAAGGCATTTAGTCAATTGGGCTCTTCAAAGAAAGCAACGTAGAGAGACTTGGAACAAGAAATAATTTTGGAGGCTTTGTCCACATGTGTGGGAACCACTGGAGATAGCCTTTAGTCATCTTTCTTTTGGCTTTTTAAGAGGAGAACGTACAGAAGCAAAGGGGGCGCCTCTAGTTTTAGTTTTTTAGCATAGTTTTTAGTTTTCTTTCTTTTGACTGGCCTCTGACACATGCCAGGTGTTCGACAATATTCCCTAACGGGAAAAACATCTTTTATTCCTTGCCTTCTAGTAAAAAACGCAATGCCTTTGCAATCCATTAATTTGCGTAGAGATTTATTCATGCGGCGTGGCTAAGCCTTCCATCTAGTCAAGGGTCAACTCGACGGCGCAGTCCCGAAAATCTGTGAGATCTAATTAGTTTTCACGCGTTCTTTAATTTATTAATATTTGCACGTTGTCTGCTTGAATTTTCATGAGATTATTTTATTATTTGGATGTCAAGGACCCGATGTTCAATGTGATTTATTAATCTCGTGCCAATTTAGTCAATTAAATCCGTAATTGTTTGATTGATTAATATTAGTGGCAACTGGTGTGTTTACACGTTAGGGGAACGTGCAATCTAATTTAAATAACCCTCGTAGCGTGTTATTGATTAGGGTTAGGTTTTTCTAGTTATTAATGCAATTGGAGAATTAATTCTTACGGTCGTACCTAGGAGTATTTTCTAGTTAAGGGTAATCAATGGTCGTACCTTGGTTACCAATAAATTAAGGAAAAATTGGTCGTTAGAATTCGTCGGCGACTATACCTAATCTATTAATAAATTAAGTGAGCCTCTCTTTCATCAATGATCGGATAAATGGACTGTGCCTGAATAGTTGTATCCTTGGCTAGAATTTATTTATTCTTGATTTAATTCCTGCTATATCTGTGCTAGTTAATTATTTATTTTTAGTTGGATTGTTTAATTATTTTTAGTTGCATATCGGTGAAATCCCCCTCTTACCAATTGAAATTTAAAAGAGACAAATATCTCCAGTCCCTGAGGAGACGACCCTACTTGCCACTGTCTACTATTTAGTAAATTTCGTCGATTAATTAATTTTGGTATATCGGATTAAGCAAACTCTTCGGGAACAGGGTGAATCAAGTAACCCATTGCACACCTAGAGTCCCTGCTCCAGTACCTAGGATTAATTTTTGACTATTTTTAGTGGTAGTTAGGTTCTATTTTTATTATTGCACATGTTCGGCACCTGTCAATTTTTGGCGCCGTTGCCGGGGACTGGCGACAATTATTTGTTTCTTTTCAATTTCAATTTTGTTCTAATTTTCTGGTATTTTTTTTCTAGTTTATGCCTCGTTCTTCTCGTACAGGTGAATTAATTTTCGACCTCGAGGTAGAAAAGACTGCGCGTATGACAAGAAAAGAGACCAGACAGCTCAGAGAGGAGCACTTCAGTGCTACATCTCAGAGACCTGAGCCAGAAGTTGAACCAACAGATTCGTTTGGCGACACTTCGAGTGACTCTAACCAGGAGGAAGGAACCATTGCTAATGCACGAACATTAAGGGAGTTGGCTGCTCCTGATTTAAATCAGCAGCCTTTATGCATTACCTTCCCCACCTTGAATGATAACACTCCATTTGAACTAAAATCTGGACTGATTCATCTTTTACCCTCTTTCCAAGGTTTACCAGGTGAAGAGCCGTATAAGCATCTGTAGGAGTTTGATGTCATGTGCAATAGTATAAAGCCCCAGGAAATCACAGAGGAGAAAATAAAAATGAGGGCATTTCCCTTTTCCTTGAAGGATTCGGTAAAGGACTGGTTGTACTACCTGCCACCAGGTAGCATAACCACGTGGGACCAATTGAAGAAAAAATTTTTTGATAAATATTTTCCTGCGTCCAGGGCTGCAAGTCTAAGGAAAGAAATTTGCGGGATCAAGCAGCACCCAGGGGAGTCACTCTATGAGTATTGGGAGCGGTTCAAGAAGTTGTGCAGCAAGTGCCCCCAGGACCAAATAAGTGAGCAGTTGCTCATACAGTATTTTTATGAGGGACTCCTTTTTAGAGACGGGAGCATAATTAATGCTGCAAGTGGAGGGGCACTGGTAAACAAAACCCCTCGGGAAGCACGGGAATTAATAGAGGGGATGGCAGAGAATTCACAACAATTCGGTACGAGAGAGGATGTCCCAATACGCAAGGTAAATGAGGTAGAGACATCCTCTATCCAGCAGCAGCTAATTGAGTTGACCTCGCTTGTTAGGCAACTGGCTGTGGGAAATGCATCTCAGGCCAAGGTGTGGGGGATTTGCACTGGTATGGGTCATTCTACAGACATGTGCCCAGTGATTCAGGAAGAAAGTGCAGAGCAAGTGAACATGGCTGGTCAAACGCCGGCGCCAAAAAGGCCCTATGACCCGTACTCGAATACGTACAATCCCGGCTGGAAGGACCACTCGAATTTCAGATATGGAGGAAATAGGCAGCCCAAATTTGCACAGAACAGGCAGTCTAATTTCGTGCCAAATAAGCAACCAGAGTACCAGTAGCAGTACCAACCCCGACCACCTCCGCCCCCAAGCTGTGGTCCATCTTTGGAGGAGATGATGAAACAACTGATGGCAACCATTACGCAAAATCAACAGAGGACGGACTCCGAAATGCAGGACATAAGAAATCAGATGACTCAAATGGCTACAACAATCAACCGTTTGGAGTCCCAAACCCAAGGTAAATTGCCGTCTCAGCCTGAATTAAACCCGAAGAACGTAAGCGCAATGACCCTAAGGAGCGGGAAGGAAATCCAAGGACCCGACCCTGTGACTGCTAAGGACAAGGACGAGGAACGAATCGAGAAAGAATTGAAAGAGGAGGGCCGAGATACCAAAAATTCAAAGGTAATTTCGGATCCAATCATTGCAGTTAGGACTAATCCACCTCCCTTTCCTAGTAGGTTAGAAAAATCAAAGAAGCAGGATAAGGAGAAAGAAGTCCTGGAGATCTTTCGCAAGGTGGAGATCAACATTCCCCTACTGGATGCGATCAAGCAAGTACCTTGATATGCAAAGTTTTTGAGAGACTTGTGTGTCAACCGAAGGCGGTTGAAGGGAGATGAGAGAGTGGTAGTGGGGAAAAATGTGTCAGCAATCCTGCAACGAAAGCTTCCACCGAAATGCGGGGATGCAGGTATGTTTACTATTCCTTGTAGAATAGGCAATACCTTGATTGGAAAGGCTATGTTAGATTTAGGAGCCTCAATTAATGTCATGCCGAAATCTATATATACTTCTCTGAAATTAGGACCTCTGAAAGACACTGGAATAATAATCCAACTGGCTGACCGAACCAATGCATACCCTGACGGATTGATTGAGGATGTTTTAGTGAAAATTAATGAATTGGTTTTTCCTGCTGATTTTTACGTGCTTGATATGGATGATGAACACTCTCACGACCCCTCACCTTTACTGTTAGATAAACCCTTCTTAAGCACAGCTCGAACTAAAATTGATGTTAATAAGGGCAACCTATCTATGGAATTTGATGGTGATGTCGTTCATTTTAATATTTTTGAAACCATGAAATATCCTTTAGAATCACATGCTGGCTCTGTTTTCTCTATAAATGCTATTGACCCTACTGTACGAGAAGTTTTTGAAATTGAAGGCAGGGATGAGTTGGAAGTCGCCTTGACCAGGCACTTCGAGTCAGAGATGGCGTCTGGAGTAGAGTTGAGTGAAGAGCTCAAATGTGTGATTGGATCGTTGCAAACGCTACCAACCACAAAAATAAGGTATGGTCTCGCACCCATTTTTACACCTGAATCTCACCAAAGGTTACTTCCATCTGTTTTGGAGTTGAAACCGTTGCCGAAACACCTTAAATATGCATACTTGGGTGAGGGGGAGACACTCCCGGTAATCATCTCCACGAGTTTATCAAAAGTCTAAGAAGACAAATTGATTCGAGTTTTGAGGGACCATAAGCAGGCGATAGGATGGACTATCGCCGATATCAAGGGAATTAGCCTCGCGGTATGTATGCATCGGATTCGCCTCGAGGAGGGTGCTAAACCTATTCGGCAGGCTCAAAGGAGACTGAATCCCCTTATGATGGAGGTAGTGAAGAAAGAGATCCTGAAACTGCTGGATGTGGGGATCATCTTTGCTATATCAGATAGCCCATGGGTGAGTCCGGTACAGGTGGTCCCGAAGAAGGCAGGAGTAACGGTGGAGTCAAATCAAGAGGGCGAACTCGTACCAATTCGAAAGCCCACCGGATGGCGACAGTGTATAGATTATAGGAAGTTGAACGCCGTCACGAAAAAAGATCATTTTTCCCTTCCTTTCATTGATCAAATGGTAGAGTGATTAGCGGGTCGAACTTACTATTATTTTTTGGATGGATTTTCAGGGTATTTTCAAATTGCTATCGCACCTGAAGACCAGGAGAAGACAACCTTCACGTGCCCGTTTGGAACGTTTGCATACCGGAGGATGCCATTTGGGCTATGCAATGCACCTGCTACCTTCCAACGATGCATGGTAAGTATCTTTTCAGAGTATGTTGAGAAGATTATGGAGATTTTTATGGATGATTTCAGTGTATATGGTGAAAGTTTTGATAAATGTCTAAATAACCTCAAATTAATTTTAATTAGGTGCATAGAAGCTAATCTCGTGCTCAATTGAAAAAAATGCCATTTTATGGTCGAGCACGGGATAGTTTTGGGTCATATAGTGTCATCTAAGGGTATTGAGGTTGATAAAGCGAAAATAGATGTTATATCTACTTTACCTTACCCTGCGAGTGTGCGAGAAGTGCGTTCTTTCTTGGGTCATGCAGGTTTCTACAAAAGATTTATCAAGGATTTCTCGAAGATTGGAACACCCCTGTTCCAACTTTTGCTGAAAGAGGTGCCCTTCGAGTTCAATGAATCATGTAAGAAGGCGTTTGATAGGTTGAAGGAGCTATTGATCTCCTCACCTATTATCCAATAGCTCGACTGAAACCTGCTGACAAGGGTTTATTTTACGTATTTTTAGTGTGTTTTATTAGTTAATTTTGGTTTGATTATTTAGTTTTATAACTAAAATAACTAAGGTTTTGGTAAAAATCTACATTTTATGTTAAATTGGCTAAATATTGCATTTGATGGATTTTTATGGGAAAAACTTCATATTTTGTAGGTTTAATGATTCAATCATCAAATGAAGTGCATTGAGAAGATATTTGGATGATTGAAGATGGATTAAAGTGGGGAAAATAAAATATGAAGTGTAAAAGGAAGAAATGCAATTTGAGGACAAAAATCAAGAAAAGTCAGCTTTGACAACTCAGACATATTTTCGTATTTTGACTATATCAGGAGCTACAATGATCGGATCAAGGTGATCTTGGTACCATTTTGAAGCTAAGAGATATATCTGCATTTGGTATGAAGACATCAAAGTCCAATTCAGCCGTTTTCTTGGTCAAAAGGTCGAAACACAGAAACTTATCTGGATGGTCGAAAGCTGAAACCCAGAATTGACCAGTCTATGGTATTTTGACCATATCTCCGTCCACCGATCTCCAAATTAGATGATTCTTAAAGCATTGGAACTCTAATTCAAAGGGCTACAACTTTTGTGTTTTACACAAAAGCCAGTTCGGCCTTCATCATGGAGAAAAATGCAGTTGAAGTGAGGTCAAAAGTAAAAACGTGTCTGGCAGCCGAATTTCTGTAATTTGCTCAGCCATTTTTCTCATCTTCACACTACTTTCCAGCTAGAGTTGGAGAGAAAACGTAGGCTGCACATGCTTCAGAAGACATAAGGAAGAGATATAGCCAAGGTTCCAAGTCAAAAGCCATTATTTTTGACTCCCTTAACAAATTCAGATTTGGAGAATCATAGCAGAAATTTTTGACTGGTAAGGGAAGGACTTTTCATCAGCTTATATGCAGGACATTCAGAATCATACGGGAGAAGCTTGGAAGTGCAGAAATGTAGTTTTTCCATTCTCTTAGTATTAAATTAGTGTAGTATAGTTTAGCTAGTTAGTTCATCCACTCTTGTATATTGCTAGATTAGGATGAAGATTGAGATGAAGAAGGAGGAGTTGAAGCTCATGTGACAAGGGTTATCTCTTCTCCAATTCTTTATCTTTTGTACTTGATTCCAAATTTAGTTAATATGCAATTTCTGGATTTTATGTTATTTATGTGTCTTTAAAGTTTATACCTTGGGTTTGGTTGAACTTTCTATGATTGTTAGTGCTTATTATTTGGCTATTTAACTGCTATGATTTGAGCAAGTTATTTAGCACTTTGGCTCTTTAAATCATGATTAATCTGGTACCATTAATTGTGATTATCTAAGGTGTTATTTCTGCAATGAAAATTGAGATTTAACATTAGTTCAAGAAGTGCTAAACATAGGGAGTACACTCACGAAAGTAGAGGTGCACCTATGTGGTTTTTAGTGATTCATTTCATGTAATTTCACTGAAGAAATGAACTTGTAGCTAATTTCATAACCATGAGAATAGGTATGGATTAGTTATAAGTATAATTGATTCACTACGAAAGTAGGATTCAAATGCATAAGGAAATTACACCATAATTAGCCTAGATGTAGTAATTAATGATCTAAATATAACACTTGCATGAGTAGCTAGGGATACCACAACCCAAGGAGCTTTCATTTGTTATTTTGTATAATTTCAGTAGGATAAATTTATTATGATTCATTGATAGTCTAAATAATAGAGAAACTTTAGTAATACCGGTAATTGTTCACTCTTCCCTGTGGGATCGACCCGATATATACCCTAAACTACTAGTTGATCTGTATACTTGCAGTGAACGGGTGTAATTCGGTATTTTTTAGCTTGCACGTATGTAAAATACCCGTCAAGTTTTTGGCGCCGTTGCCGGGGAAGATTTGGCAATATCGGTGTGAAGAGCAACTTTATTAATTTAGACAATTTTTCTTATTTTTGTTGTTTTTGCTGTATCTTATGTGTTTTATGTCATTTTTTTTTTAATCAACTTTTATTTTATTTTATTTTTTTCTGTTTTTGTTTGTGTCTTGGAATCTATCCTTCTTAACTAATCTTACTTTTGAGATTGTTTAAAAGTAATTTTAGATAATGAGGAGGATAGGTGAATTTGGAGAACAATGCTTGAGAAGTGGAAGATTGGCAATGGATGGTTACCAAGTGCAAAACTCCTTCAACAGAGGTAACCAAGAAATTACTGAAGGTATGTCTTTTGAAAATGGTTTAAGGTGCTTAAAGGCAAAATTTGATGTAATTAAGTTACAAGTTCAAATGGACACCATGATGCATGAAATTGAGCAGAGAAGGAATGTTAATGCTTTTAATTCTTATCATGTGATTTGTGACTTGTGTGGTGGTTATCATGCTACTAATACATGTATGCAAGCACAAAATGTGGATTATTATGATGAATTAGAGCATTATAATCCTTGTTTTGATCAATATAGTGCTAATTGGAGCAATTCTCCTGTTTATGGTTGGGAAAATCAATGTGTATATAGTGACTCTCCAAATTTTTATGATTATCAACCTGAAAGTGTCCAATATGAATCAAAACCATCTTGGGAGTTAGCTATAGAAAAATTAGCTAATGTGACTTCCGACCGTTTTGATAGGATTGAGAAAAGAATAGATGAATTAACTTCTCACTTTGGCAGAATAAATGAGCAATTGAGTGTATTGTGTGAAGTTATTTCTTCTAATAATTTGCAAAATGATCCTAGCATGAATGGTGGAAATGTTGTATGTGAAAATGGATTGCATTTGGATGAAAATGATGAATCTCAATTATATTTCAATGAGCAAATATCCATTTCACATGATAATACCTTTGAAACTAACTTTGAGCCTCAAGAGGTGAGTTTTAATGACTCATTTTTCACCCCTCTTGAGGAGTGCAGTGAAAGTATATGTTTTAAAGGTATTGCTGTCCAAGATACTCTCATGACATTTTCTTTGGTGAATTCTCAAGTGGTGCATATTCAAGGTAATATTTATGAAACACTTGGGATAGGTAAGTCAATTCCATTTCTCACATCATTAGATCATGTGACTTTTGCGATAAAGCCACCTTTTAATGATCCACCACGGCCTAAAATGGTGGATTATTCGTTAACTAAACCTCCTTGAAAAATAAGGTGAACTAGTCAAGCTATTGACTATAAAGAAGCGCTTATTGGGAGGCAACCCAATGTTTGTTTAAGTTTATGTTATTTTGGGGTGATTTTATGTTTAAAGTATATGTTTGAGTTATTTTGTTATTTTTCATTTATAGGTATTGGAAATGAAAGCAAAAGTGACCAAATGAGGTGAAAAAGGCGAAGTTTGATCAAGGAACTCAACCCCTCGATTTGAGTAATTGTTGTTTTTGATTCGTTACAAGGGGTTAAAATGCATGTTTTGATCATTTTACATGTGCATGCATTGAATATTTTAGCAAACAAATGATCTATGATGCATTTTGAGTAATTAGGGTACCTTTTGTAATTTTGCAAAAGTTGAATTTCTGCTAAAATTCGCAGCAGAAAACGCGTTTCTCAAGAAAACGCGCCTCTGAATCGCGTTTTCATTGAATCACGTTTTCAATTCTGTGCCTATAATGAAGAAAACGCGCCTTCAAAACGCGACAGGAAGTCGCGTTTTCTACAAAGTCGCGTTTTCCAGCCTGTTCAGAAACCAAAAACGCGCCTTCAAATACGCGACTTAAAGTCGCGTTTTCTCACGTAGTCGCGTTTTCAATGCTGCAAGTTTTGTGAAGAAACGCGACTTCACAAAACGCACCTTGAGGCGCGTTTTCTTGAGCCGCGTTTTTTGAGCACCTTTTTTTAAAAAAAAAAAAAAAAATGCAGCTTCCTTGATTCTCTTTTTTCTTCTTTTCCTCATAAATTTTCTTGTACCTTGAGTTGCT